AGGAATGACTAGTGTCACTTATATAGTGGCTATTAGGAGACACCAAGATGGAGCATCTGCTTTCTGCTACCCCACCAGGTTACTGCTGTTGGAGGTGGGCATATTTAGCTTCCTATGAGGTGGTTCCCCAGGGCTCATCAGCCTTTCAGGTGAGCAGTACATAGGTCTGAGGCCCTTGCTGTCGGATGGTGCAGCTTTCCAGAGCTGGACTAGCATCCTTCCCCATCCCCTTCAGGCGGGTGGGGGTCTCCTGACTCAAGTGCTTGCACAGACTGAGCGCACTAATGGCTTTGGAGGGTGGGCAGCTTATGTTACAGTGCATTAAGGGGAAATTGTGCCCAAATCAAATTGCCTTGTGAAATCCTATTCTGCTCCTTAAGACAAAACATGTAAATATTTGGGTCTCAGAACAATAAGGTTGGCCAAATAGTCTTGATTGAAGGGGAAGTACTGCAGCTTTATCTCCTCTCAGAGGCTCGTTGAGGTGTCGCTTTACTCTGGCCTCGGGCTTCCATTGCATCTGGTAATCTGGTTTGGATTGATCGCTGGGAGGTTGACTCCTGAGGGCCTGTGCTGGGGCCTCCTGCTTCCCGCGGGGGGTCAGTGTCTGAAAGGAGGAAGCCATAATGAGCCAGTTTCATAGCAAACCTTGTCCTCATTGCTGCACTTCTTGTGTCTTGGGAGGCACTAATGTCTTTGGGCTGTAATCCTAGCCCTAAACAAGGTTAGGCGCAGGAAAACAAACACTCTAAACCATGGAGACCCCTGCCCCTTGCTGAAACCGTCTCTTCAAAGACTCAAGGTCTCTGGAGGGGGGAGGGATGAACCGTGCAATTCCACGGCATCTGGTATTAGCCTGGAATAGGCAGAGCTTGTAGGCACAGCTTGGTTGACTTTTTGAAGTGGCCTCAGTTCAGATAAATAGAAGCAGTGGGGAAACATGATTAGTCAGGTTGAGGGCTGTGGGTGGGCTGGCACCCACTACCATAGCACCTGGGAAGATTTCTTTCATATTCACTCAACTCCCAAAACCAAAGATTTGGGTAGGGAGGCATTCGTCGTGCTGGCTGGCGCTGGATTTGCACAGTGGTTGAAGTCTTTTGCCTTGATTACCACGTGCATCTTTTCTGCTCTTGCCATTTACTGTTTTTTCACCCTTCCAGGGTTGGCCCAGCCACACCTGGAGTTGCTGTCTGCGGTGCTGCACTGGTATTGGCAGTGGTGTCTCCAGAGAATCAGTGGCAACATCAGGCCTAAGCAGGAAATATGCCGTGCCCCGTCTTGCTTTTGTGCTTGGCAGTGTGGGCCAAGCAGATTAACGCTGTCCCGTTGAGTTTGTCGTCCAGGACCAGTTCCTGTTAGATCCTTTAGTGGGGTCCTTAGAGCCACCCTCAGCCCATTTCCCCTGTGACATTTGAAGGATTTTTCAGCAGACTGGGGGTTTGCCAGTTGGTGGGGCAGGTTTGCAGTCCTTGGGGCTGGCACCGAAATCTCTTATGCAGTGAGGGAACAGCGTTTTCTTGGACTCCATGCTGGACCAGCGTTACCATGTGTTTTGCAGCAACATCCGGGAGATGAGAGCCGTACACAAGGATCCCTTCCTGAAAAAGCACAACCTGAAGCTAGGTTTCATGTCAGCTTTTGTGAAAGCTGCAGCTTTTGCTCTGCAGGACCAGCCTGTTGTGAATGCAGGTAAGTGGTGACACTTGCTGGTGAGTTGCACATCTCACCAGTGAACGTGGCAGAGTGGGGGAAAGCAGGTGGCCAAGTTCCATGGCAGGGCTAATAGCTTGGGCAAGCAAGTCAAATATGCAGAAAAAGGGGGAACAGTCCTACGTGCTGCAGCTAATTTTCCTAATGCCATTTAAGTAGGTAGAGGACAGCTTGCCAAGAGGGGCTCTGTTAGGAAGGGGTTGCCAGGAGTGGGGCTGGGACCATGCACACGCAGCCCACAGAGGGAAGAGCCTGCTGGTTGGTGTAGAGGTAGCTGCTGTAGGTGTGATCCAGTTCCTGAGGGGGTATCAGAGGTGCTTGCTCAAACCCAGAAGAGGAGAATAACCAAGGGGATGTCTGAGGGGGACTGACCTATCTGGACTGTGTTTCCTTTCTGTCAATCCTGATACTTCTCCCACAGGTGCAGTGAGGGCTCATTCTTCTCTGGAGTTATGTTTAAGCTAGAGATGAGCAAGTTGTTACGATTTCGTGGCTACTTCTGGCCTCCTGAGCCCTTGATCTTGGGTACTGCATGCGTAACACAGCTTTTCTTTCTCCTTCTAGTGATTGATGACACAACCAAAGAGATTGTGTACAGGGACTATGTGGACATCAGTGTCGCTGTAGCAACTCCCCGGGTAGGTGTCTTGGATGCTTTGGCCATGATTCCTGCAGCCTCGGGTCTGGGATGATCATATACTTTGAGCCAACTCAGCTTTGAGCTCCTCTGCAGCGGAAACTTACTGATGAGACTGATCTTCTAAATGAGACATCTGATACATTGTGGACTGCTGAGATGGGTTTTGAGCGAAGGGATGAAGGACCAAGAATATTCTGCCACTGTACTAGGACATGAAGGTCAATATAAATCTCAGTGGTTAATGAGTAGGGCCAAGTTAGGGAAACCCTTTTTTTCATGGTTTTTCATGGTTCATCAAAGAAGATGTCTCATTTACTGTGTCGGCCGTTGGTGCATGTCGTGCCAGGTTTCCCAACAGGCTGCCAGGGTGTGAGGCAGCTCTGCCAACCACCTGCTGTTGGCCGAGGAGGAGGCAGGAACTCTGCTGGGCTGAGGCCAGTCTCCTGCCCCATTACAGTTATCTGTGCGTCGCTGCAGTGAATTTGCTGATCATGCACTTTGCTTCTCCCTAGGGTCTTGTGGTCCCTGTTGTTAGGAATGTAGAAAACATGAATTTTGCTGACATAGAGCGTGCTATCTACGACTTGGGGGAGAAGGTAAGGAAAGTTGGAGGCTTTTCTGAAAATGGTTGGGAGGAATGGGAAGAATTGGGGGTGCTGGATAGGCATGAATTGATTCAGTCCCTTTGTGTCATCATCTCTGACCTCTAACACACTGAGTTGTGCTGTGGGGAGTGATCCAGTTACAGCTGTAGCAGTGCCCGTGCCTTACAGGACAGGCCTATCTACTTGTTGCCTTTCCAGCAGACCACAAACTATGCATTAGTGACATGGTGTGTCTTCACGTTTGTCTTTAGAGGCCAACGCTGAACTGCCCTGGGGTAGAAGTCCCTGTGTCTATCTCCTGCAAAAGCCGGAGTTGGAAGTGAAGGCAAGAGAATCCTTCCCCAAAGCCAGTAAATGTTCAGATCTAAAGACAGGATGCATTTTCAAGTAATTCATGCTGGTTTTCAGCTGAGCAGATCAATAAGTGAAGCTCTTGCCCATCAGCATTTATTCCTGGAGAGGGTGAACATCCAAACCCTTGTCCTTTGCCTTCTGTGATCTGCGTGGCTTTCTAAGACCTTACTTTTTCTTCTAGGCACGGAAAAATGAACTGGCCATTGAAGACATGGATGGCGGCACTTTCACGATCAGCAACGGAGGGGTTTTTGGGTCACTCTTTGGGACGCCTATCATTAACCCACCCCAGTCTGCCATCTTAGGCATGCATGCCATCTTCGACAGGCCTGTGGCTGTAGGAGGCAAGGTAGGTGGAGTTGCGCAGGCGGTTTCAGTGAACAGAGGGGAGGGCTCAGAGGGATGAGGACCATAGCCCTATGCTTTTTCTAGGGAGTTGGTGTCAACTTCCAAAAGGCTTTACTATGAAGGAGGAGCAGAGACTAATGGGTGTAGGGCAGCTTTGCTGGCACTGGTACTTGCCTGAGGTGTGCAGGGGGCCTTGCTCTATCCGTAAAGGGGAGAACTGGGTAGTCTGCTTAGCTATGGGGAGGAGGAGGCTGTAGCCTTTGTGAGAGAGAACAGCTCCAGAAAGGTACCTAGTCTTGTATGGTGCGTACCCAGCCTGGGTAGTGGTCAGTGGGTAATCCTGGGTGAGTGTGGGTGGGTAATCCTGCCAGGTAGGATGCATCCAGGAGGGCCTGAGCCCTGGATTCAGGATAGGAAAAAGCCAGGTCTTCCCTGAATTCAGGAGGACATCGTGCAGGCAGTAGGGCTGAGCTCACTAATGCCTGTCTTATTCCTCCCCTTTAGATCGAGGTGCGGCCCATGATGTACGTGGCACTGACGTACGATCACCGGCTGATTGACGGCAGAGAGGCAGTGACTTTCCTGCGCAAGATCAAGGCAGCGGTGGAGGATCCCCGCGTGCTGCTGCTCGACCTGTAGAGCAGCCACACCCCCACGCAACCCACCCAGGGCAGGGCCGCAGCACCAGCAGGGGCGATGCAGGGCATTCAGGAACTGGCAGAGGTCATTGCAGTCTCCTTCCCTCCGCTGTGATCGGAGCTTTCCCGGTGGGAGTTGTGGAGATAGCTCCTACCTCCTTTCCTGTTCTGTTTAAAGAAGGTTCAGTTTCTCACAAGGATTGCTACGCAGTGGGCCAACCACTGAATGGCACTGCCTTTCCAGAGCCATCTATATGGCATCCTCTCCCTCACAGCACCAAACCCTCACCTCTAGCTTGTGGAAACTGCTTGCTGTTGCTGTGCTAGGGTACCCTTCCCTGCCGCTCCAAGGCAGGTTCAGCTTTATTTCCTAGCACTGAGGTTCCTGGGAGGGAGAGGAGCGGAAAGGCTACTTGTTCTGTCCCTGTTTTGCCTGAAAATATTTCACACTCATCTGCCTTGCAAGGGCAGTCTGGGGATGCCCAGGCCGCTTGCAGCAGAGGTTTTGATCAGAGCAGGGTTTGAGGTAGGTGTCATGCCTCTGGCAGTGCCCTAGTTACACTCCCCCTGCAAACAGGAACGCAGTGGTGGCAGCTCCCCTGCTTTTCCTTGGAGATCACTTGTCTCTCTCCAGCCTGGTCACTGTGGCATGAATGTTCATGGCTGGGTGACCTCTGTGGAGGTAGCACTGTTCCGGGGCGGACAACCCTTTCACCATTACATGCCCGACACGGGGGTAAGAACCAGCCCCCAGCAGCTGTCCTTGAATCACAGCTCACTGATGGTGGATCTGACTGCTGGCTTCCTGCGTGCAAGGGCTTGGCCTGCTACCAGCAAAGAGACAGCTGGGGAGGGCCAGGTCTTTAAGTGTAATGTATATCCCAGCCCAAGGCTGCTGGTTTTGGGGGGAGGGGGGCAGTCCTTAATCCAATAGCGCACACATGTATTGGGGAGTGAGGGGGTTGCTAGTGCCTGCAGAGTCTATTACTCTTACCCTCTACACGGAACTTGTAACTAAAATATTTAACACAGCGGATTTTAAATGAAATAAAACTGGGCAACGACTGTGAGGTGAGGTGTGTTTGACGGGGCGAGCAGCAGCTCCTGAGCGAGGACTCGGGCATCAGCAGCATCCCTAGTGTAGCATAAGCAGCCTGTTATGTTGGTGAGAGGAAAGATGGAATGGGAGCTGGGCCCATCCCTGGTGCTATGAAACTGAGGCTTCTCTGGCTGTGAATTCTACTGTCCTCAAACCCTTTTTGGCACAGATTTGTCTCTTCCCAGCAAAGATGAGGTTTTCAGGCTGGAAATCATCCTTTTTGTGGTCTAGCAACAGAACTGTTACAGACAGCAAGGAAATCCCAGTATTTGCTAAATGGCATGATGGCCAAGAGAGAGAACTGGGACAGGCTCTTAAAGTACAAGTGTAGAGTGGGTTTGGGTTTTCCCTGATACAATGGGAGTGTTGTAAATTGTGAAAGTGGGAAAAAGGCTGTTAAGGGTTGCAGAGGGAGAAAGGAGGCGAAGAAGAACTGTAAAGCAAAAGCTGTATGTGATGCTGAGAGCATTTCCCCAAGGAGCTGTGCCTGTTGGAACAATATGAAATCGTTCCTGGATCATGGCAGGGTTTTTCCAGCTCTGACATAAACATGAGAGAATGGTTTGCCTTCCCGCCCTTGAGTGAGGAAGGCAGCACATTTTAACAGAAAATGATTGCACTCACAGCTGGCATGCCGACACAAGGGAGAGCAGTTCCTAGTACTGGTTCCTACAGCTTCCTGGCAGCCATGGACGAACCTGTGTGTGGAGTCAGCTTTCCTCTGACTGTCCCTGGTTGAGGTAGAAGGTTAGGAGGAGAGAGAGGAAAAACCCTTCCCTGTGCTGTAAAGGAAGGGCAAAGAGTCTAGCTGCTCTTGCACAAATAAATTGAATTAAAGAGAAGGTTCTGATTAAAAAATGCTCCTAGCACCCAGTCCCCCATGCTGGTTTAGGATACAGAGGGCCCACGTTGACTTTGTACATGAGCCTGGGGAAGGGCAATGCCTGTATTCTGTCTGGAGCTGCAATAAATGAGGCCTTTGAACTACCCAGGGAGTGAATATACAGTCAAACTCTTAAAATGATGCAGCCTAGCAAACTGCTTTATTTAATCTGCCCTGTTGGGGCTTCCCATAGGAGGGTCGTGCAGCTGCTGTGCTTGAAGCTTCCTTTTTTGACCCTCCTGGGTGATGCCCAGGGCACTTTGTTGCAAGAAGCCATGCTGTGGCTTCAGCCGCAGGCCTGATTTTCCTGCTGACCCTCCCCTGTATCACAGGACTAGGAGGCTGGCGGCCAAGGGGGGACCCTGCTGCTGGAGGGTTCAGCCAGTGCAGGCTGTCCTAGAGAGGAAAAGCCCCAGGCTTAGTGGCTCCCGGCATCTGGCCTGCTCTGGCATCAGTGGTAGGCTCCTTGGTTAGTCCTCTTGCTTCTGCACAGCCTTTGAGGTGTCCCCTGCCTTTGCTGGGGTGGGAGATGAGTTTCTCCCGGGCTCTGCTTCCCTCTGGTGGACAAGCACTTGTTCTGCCGCCTGAGCGCCAGGCTCAGTCAGTAAAGAGCAGAGTGTTACTGCTGGTGGCAAGCAGGAGCTGGAACCAGCTAGCCACAGAAAAGTTTCACTGGTGCCAGTAATTCCTTACTGTCGGGAATGAGTGAGCAATGGGAGGGCGTGCTGGGAGAGGAGGGCCAAACCTACACTGCTGCTGTTGCTAGCTCATCCTTCAGGCTATGGCTTTGGCTTGCACAAATGAGCACAGCAGCTTCTGCCTTGGGCTGTTAGCAGACACTTCTTCACACTTCTTTTTCTTCCATCCTTGTCTGTATTTACTCTTATCCTCCTTCCGTCAGTGCTGGTTCTCTGAGTTCATCCCGTCAAACCCTCGTTGTTTGTTCTACCAGGAATGACCATGCTTAAAGCACAGCAACGAGGGCAGCAAGGGCTGCTGTCCTGCCAGCAGAAAGGAGCACCCGGAGCCACAATGGGTAATGACGACAACAGTCAAGGCTGGAAGAAGACACAGGCACTCTTGTGTATTTTCCCAACTCTGAGCTGCAGCCACGTGGCTGTGTGGATCCAAGAGGCCCTGAGGCAGGGGCACAAGGGGAGATGGCCAGGCACTTGGGGCCACCTTCTGGTTTTGGTTGCAGGCTGCTGACAGCCAGCGGGCGGCACCAACCCAGGGCTCCCACACAGGTTTGGAGACAGGTTTGAGGCAGATTTGGGGCCCTCCCTCGCTCAGCCCAGGCCTCCCTGGTCCAGCTCAGAAACAAAAGGACACTTCTGCAAGCGATAACGAGTGTTTTATTCTTTTCAGAGGGCCAGGGGTGGAAGAGCAGAGGGCTCCCTCCCATCTCGCCCCCGCAGCAGGCATTTCCCACACACACATGCAGCCAGGGATGGGCACCAGCCAGCGGGGCCCGAGGAGATGCACTTGGAAGCCACAAAAAATAACAGGGTGGGGGGGATCACTGTGATAGCAGCAGAGATAGATAAAAACCATAGGGAGCCCTAGGGCGCGGTACTAAGCTGAGCAAGGGATGCCCCAGAAGGGGAGCATGGCCACTCTCCGGGCCTAGGCACTGCACCGGGGCTCCCTTTCCCACCAGGGAGGACCTAGAGGAGAGGAAAGCCTGGCCCAGACTGCAGCCTCCCCTCTCAGAGACGTCAACAAACACAAGCAGAAACAGAAGAAGATGTAAGGAGCAAAACCTCACGCGTACCCCACCCTGGGGCAGCCCTTGCAGGCAAACCTCCCCAGTGCCACATGTGGTCACAAGTGGCAGGGAGCGCGGGCTTTGCAGGAAGGACAGCCTGCCTAGCCCACCAGCTTGTTCCATGGGATGGTGCTGAAGAAGGAGTGAGACTTCAGCTTCGCCATGCCACCTCCTCCAGAGCCCAAACGCTGCTTCGGGTTGTACTGTAGGAGCTGCAGAGAAAGGGGATGGGACAGCAGGATGGGGAGATGGGGACGCTGGAAAAGCTACCTAGGCTGGACCCTCTAAGCCCCATCCTCCCTCCCATCCACCCAAGGCCCTCACCTCAGTGAGCAGCGATGTAGCAGCCAGGCTGAGCCCCTCTGGCAGATGCAACTGGGTGTGAGGTTGAATCCCTGAAGGGTGGTTTCGGGACAGTGGCTGCAGGAGGCAGAGGGTGATGGTGAGTGGAGGCACTGAGGAGGGTAGGAGCACCCTGCTGAGCCTTCATTGCCACACAACCCCAGCTCTACGCAGCAGGATTTAAAACCCAGGGCCCTGAATGCCCAAAGACCATGCACAGGCACTAGGCATCACAGGCCTGAAGTAACTTGGCACAGTGCTGAGGTGCCAGCAGGGCAAGGCACCCTCCCAGCCCTGCATGGCAGGGAGCTCTTGTGCTATGGTGTCACCTCCTCCTCCCCCCTCCTTGCACAGCTCCTCTGCCTCTTACCACTCCCGTCAGCAACTCGTACAAGAGAGAGCCAAAGCTCCAGCAGTCAGCTGCTTCGGTGGGCTCCACGATCCCCCCCACTTCTGCAGAAAGAGCCAGAGAGGCATTAGAGCTGGAGGCGGGGAGCGCCAGTGGCTGTGCCGTGCCAGGACGTCTCGCTGCCTGCAGAAGCCCGTCTCCCCCCGTTGGCAGCAGTGGGCGGAGGGCAGGAGAAGGGGACGCGTCCCTTACCTGGGGCACTGTACAGCTCTTCCCGTGCCTGGCTGCAGCACTGGGGTTCCACCTCTGTCCACTGGCCAAAGAAGGTGAGACGGACATGACCTGCAGAGCAGCACCAGAGCCAAAAGCAGGGAGGTTAGGACAAAGCTAGGGGCTTTGTTCGGAGCACAAAGCCAAGCCATATCCCCACAACTGGGAACAGCCAGGGCACTGGGTCCCTGCCCTGAACACAGAGGCACTGTGCATCCCCGGGCACTGAGCATCCCCTGGCCTCCCAGTGCTTGCCCCAGATGCCCAGCAGGCCCGTGCAGCTGATGAGATTGGTTAGGTGGGCTCCAAGCTCATGGACCTCAGGGCAGGCTGTGGTGAGGAAAGAAGCAGTGCCAAAGGAAGGAAGGTTAGCTTTCCCCTTGCAAAGCTCTCTGCATTTTTCTTTTCCTAAGCAATTTGTCGCTCTCCAGTTTGCCCCAGCTGTTGCCAGCTGAGCAGGAACATGCACTTGCCTTGCACTGACAGTGGTACCCATGGCTTAAAGGGATGGGCAGACTCCAGAATACCCCAGCGAGCAGTAACTACAAGCAGGGGAAAGCTGCAATCCCACCAACCTCCTCAGGCACAGTTCAGCTGTTTTCAGCTTCCCTGTGCTGGGATTTCCCAGGCAGCCAGCCCCCACGTGGGAGCAGGGGCAATGCATTCCTGTGGCTGCGGCCCCTGACCCTCCCATTGCAGAGCCATCTCTTGTAATAACTGCTTGGAAATCCCAACTGAGACCACACTTCCAGGATCAGAAACATCCAAACCTCCCCAGACTCCCACCCTCCTAAAGCAAAGTCAAGAAAGTCCATGTCCCTGGAAATGGGGCAAAGGACAGTCTCCCAGCACAGAGGCCAACCTCCTCCTTGGGGCAGCAGCCTGGGGCACTACCTACCAGCTGCATCAAGCAGCAGGTTCCTGGGGTTGAGGTCCCGGCACAATACACCCTGTTGGTGAAGTCCCTCTAAGGCCAGGAGGATTTCCGCTGCCCACAGCTGCACCTGCTCCTCC